AACAAAAATTATATGAAAAAATAAAATTCATAAATAGTGTCTCTCTTTTGTATTCACAACGCTATATATATGAGTAATATATGAGTAATATGTGAGTAATATGTAGTAATAAAATATACCACCGCTATTATCGACTTTGTTAATATCATTACTTTATGGTTAACAACAATTTTTTTACAGATGAAATTTTCTATATAAATAAAATTTCTAATGTCAGTTCTTCATATATCAACCAAAATGATTGATCCTGAAAAATTGACATTGGAAGTTGTATAAATTTGTTTGATTGCTAAGGAGCGTAAATCATGTTATTATTGCCATAGATAATGTGATTATTATTATTACTATTACGCTTAGCATTTCTCTTTGTTATATAATAACCTATGCCTACACCAACTACTACTAAAAGTATAAAAGGAGCAGCGATAAAAAATTTAGTTTTAAGACTGCTTTCATCGCTTGAATCTATACAATAAAATACAGATGATATGAATTAATTGAATTTTGCATAATTATGTTATTTGGTCACTAATGTACGATTATATCGATAATATAGAATTGTAATTATTACCTGAAGATTGAGTAGAAGAAGACGAGGAGGGATTATTAGAGGATGGCGAGTTATTCTGTGGACCACTACCAGCAGTAACAGTAAATGTGTTTGAATAATAGTAATTATAGGATGTTTGGTCCATTAGGAATAGTTTATAACTTCCTGCCACGACACTAACAGCCCAAGGTTGGCTTCCCTTCGTAAGATCTACATTGGTATCTATAACCGTAATAGCAGAAGTTTGTGCATTTTGAATCCCTAACTCAATTCGTGTGGATTGAGAACCACTAAAAGACCAGCTAATCACGATAGTTGAACCTGTTTGAACAGTTTGAGGTGAATTTAACGTCACCGCTACATTTAAATAAACGAATATTATTAGCTATTTGACTTTATGACATAAATATTAATGAGAAATTTAGATACAGACTACCAAAAATTTCTTTTCCAGCAATACGATTCTGATAACTTTTTAAAATATGTTTATCTGAATCGAATTACTGGATAGTCAGAAATTATAATATAATATTGGTAGTAATCTTAAAAAATAATAAAAAATGAATAGTTCGTACTGTAGTATGCATCCGCGACGCAATAAAAAATTGTAAAAATAATGAATATTAACTTGATGTTAGTCATGCTTAGTTTAGGGATAAGAATGAGAAAAAAATACGACTGTGCGATTTATCTAATTTCATTACTGTCATGTGCCACAATGCCAGTTTGTTTTAATTTGTGTAACTTTCAACATATTTTATTTTAGTTCTTGTATGCCTTTTTTTGTGAAGCTCATTTGAGTTCTAAATGTACAACAAAAAAATTGTATACCCCGAATTGAATTTATCATTTACGAGATTATAATTTTACTAAACGGAGTACCAACATTGCAATCCGAAGCGGTAAACAAAGTTCACTATCAAAATTTTCCTATTTTAGTAACTTAAATGCAATATATTGTTAAAAAAACACCAGTATCACCAATAAACTATGATGATATTTGGAGTTGACGTAACACTATAGTATGCAAGATGCGAGTTATGCAGATAATATAATCAAACCTCCCTAAGTGCACCAAGATGTATACTTAGAAGGGATGCACATTTAGAAAATTAGTGTTCTGCTTGACTACTATATTAATATATTAATCACGTGCATACACCTATGAAGGGTGTATAAATCCTGACTATAGAATTTTATGCAGGTGTAGTGGGTAGAGGCATGTACTTAACAATAAGCTCCAAGATTGAGATTGAGCTAGTATGTGCATTTATGGAGGTGCATTTATGGTGTGTGTATACTTAGGAAAGGCGCGCACATACATTTAGGGATGTTTAAATCTATAAATAAAATCATAAATCAATAATTATTTAGACAAATCGTTTCTTTAATTAAATTCATGAGTATAAATGTGAAATGTTTAGAGAATGTACTTAATATTATTGGTTAGTTGATATTGTTGCTGTTTTATTAGTTTTTTTTTTTTTATCTCCCGTGTATGATATTCTAAATCTACTACTTACAATTTGAAAACTGTCTTTTCAAATTTAAAAAATCATGTGATGTAATTTTTAAATTGAAGGTCATCAGGTCTAAGAATTACTGTCATTTGATGTCAATTAAAAATTTTAAAAAATTCGTCATTGATGTGTTATCTATTAGGGAAAATTACGGCTATATTATTCCGAAGTTACTGATGTTACTTCAGAAAATCTCATTTTTCATATCATTGTTATTTTTAGATTATTTTTCATTATACGCGTGTCGAGCTTTAACTTATTATATTACCATTTATCGTTATATGTATCGGAGTATAATTATCGCGTCATCAGGAAAATCTTTAAATATTGTGATTAAAAGATCCACTCTATACTCTTTTTAGTATTATATATTAGCTACTATTATTTCCA